CCCAAGGACCACCCTGTGCTTCACCTAGCATACAGCAGCGCAACTTGGCTATGGCTGCGTGCTCCCTCCTACTCGCCCATGGGAGCGTGAGTGCCAGCCAGCCAGCTGATTGCGCAGTAGTGCTTACGCAGCATGCAGCCAGCACCCGAATGTCGAATCAGGAGGCAGGCCCTTCTCTATATCGAAATGGCCTGCCTGCGTCCAGTCCAGGAAGCTTCCAGTAGGCCCCCGGTAGCCTGAGGCCCAGTCACGAAGAACGCAGGCCTTGGGCCTGAAGTGGCTGCATGTGCCCAACTGCTTTCGGCCTGTGCTTGGCCCGGTACCCGTATCCAGCCCAGGGCCTGCTTTACATTCATTCACACAGGCGGCCCAAGGCCTGAGTTCATTCAACCAACTGGCGCTGCGCAACTGCCTGAATTTCCCCAAATGCGGGATACCTTGAAAAACGAGGCCCTGAGGGCCTGTCGTGCCTGCCTTCACTTAGGGCGGCCGACCTTGCTGCAAATAAGGGCCCGTAGGGGCTAAGCGGGCATTGCCTCGCATATAGGGGATCCGGACAGGAATTTGGACAGGGGGTCCGGGTCGGTCCGGATTTTCTGGAATATTCCGGTTTCCCGGAACTCCGGAAGGGTCTGAGAGGTCCGGGGTCCGGATTCGGTCCGGTGTCCGGTCCGGCGTAGCTATGGTGTAGGCAATAATAGACTGAGTGGTGATCAAAGGCAACGCAATCCTTCTCAGTCTTCCAATATAAACCTCGATCAATTCCTTCTCATCATCCCTACTCAGTCTTCTGTTGTATCCTTTCACAGTACCCGTGATCATAAAGTACCGTGTCAGACCTATAATCTCATAGTCAAATTGCATGACTTGTGAACCGTTGTTAATTCTTCTTGCAAGAAAAACTCGGTTCTCTTGAAGAGTGATATGATACTCTCTCAATAATCCCCACTTCCACTACCTTCAGTAAATAGTTAATCTCAGTCTGGTTAGTGACGGCTCTCAGGGCAGAGTCTCTCATCCGATCAAAGAAAGGTTGCAAAAACTCAAGTTCATCCACAATAGAGAAACTCCTGTCTGAGATCCGAAGAGTTCCTTTTGTCTTGACCACTTTTCCCTCCAATACAACCTCGAATGTTAACTGTTCAACGGGACTAGGCATTATCGATCATTATAGACAGTGTAAGGAGAGGTAGATCTCAGGATGAGTGTAGTCAGGGATCTCAAACTGGTGTTCAAAAGTGGATTTAAAAGTAAGGACTTTATCATCACTGTAGAGTCACTCTCCCTTGCGTTACCTACTATGGCAATACCTTCCAGGAGAGGCGACCAATCTCCCCTGTCATCAAAGCCATCAGTAGTTTAAAAACTAGGGAGTCTCTCAAATCGTCTTATTCCTTCTCCCCAAGTTACTTTTCTATGTAACTTCTCCAACGACTCTTTTGTTCTTATAAGACTGGTATAAGCTTCGAGCCGGCATTCCAAATAATCAACTTCCTCCTCTAGGCATGTCGGAGGATAAATTCTCACGTCCAGGCTATCGGTGTTTAAGAATTGTTTGACCACTGGAATGTGAAATATTATTTGTCCTCTTGTGCAGGTCTCATACCTCAAAATTACAAAGGGATTATTGGACCCAGTTACTTTATGAAGTTTGCCTGTCACATCAGTTATCCTTGCTGCCGAGAGTATTCTTCTTGAACCCTCTTCACCTTCCATACAAAATCTGTTATGACTGACTAATTATTCCTTGAAAACATAAACCCTTCAACAGGTGGAGACGGTATCCCAGTGGAAGGCCTAACATAGGTATTCCAAGAGAAGTTCTCCCCTACTCGTTCAAGTCTTCTTATTTCACCATGCACAATATCAGACGATCGTTGTCAACATCGACCACTTCTATACTCTTCGAACCTATGTCATTGCACATAAATCCCAATGTCAAACTTATCAAGGTCAATAAAATAGCAGGTAAGAAGATACATACCATCAAGATTGCATCCCAGATTCTTTAGTGTCTCATACCTCACAATCTCGTAGGGAATCACAACTCTCCTTGTTATAGAATTTCGTATGGTTGACTCATTTGCATCTTTGGTCTCCTCTCACTTTCAGTGCAAACTCAATCACAACAGACCAATTATTTCTTGACAAAATATATGGTAAAGGAGTTGGGAATCCCTCAAAGACAGCAAGCCGAGTAAATCAAAATTCTTACATCATATGTGTCAAAGTCTGTAAAGTAGAATGCCAGGACATAAAATCGTTCCTGCTCCCATCCACTCTCGACCGTCTCATACTTGACGATCTTGTATGGGAACACTTCTTTCTCACTTAAAGCATTCAGTGATCTCAGGAGGCACTCAACTTTTTCCTTCCTTGGACGTGAGCCTTTGCCAAATTCCAATCTTCTCTGTTTGATTTCCTCTGCTGGAGTTTCTCTTGCTCTCATGACATCCTTTTCATTTTTTCCACCTCAGTACCATGTTAATTATTGGCAACCAATTACTTTCATCACAGTAACTCTCAGGAATAGGAGGAATTGAAATTCTCTCATAGGTTAAGTATTAACCCCCATTCCACTCTCTTATTTCGCTTGGTTAGATTTGCCTTTTCATCGTAGATAGATTGAACAGCAATTTACCATAGCCAGTTAAAGGCCTCACCATCGTTGCAACCTCCATTCTTGATGTAGGGACGAATATCATAAATATCTCCCTCCAAGAAGTGAGCCAGCACTACACGAAAAGATTGGGCTGCACTCATGGGTAGAGGTGAGCACTTCAGAGGGTCTCAATTTCTTTGGTGAATGCACAGACTAATTGATACTGGTCTCAATGTGAACCTGCAATAATTGAGCGCTGACTGGTCTCGGTCGACATTTCTTGGTAACCTGAGTGGCTAAACGCTGCTGAAATAATATATCAATGACTATTAATCGCTAAATAACGTGAGGCTGGGATAATTGCCAATTGTTGATCCTTGTGTGTTCTTTGACTTTTGAGGACTGCTGATAAAGGAGCCTCGAAACCTTTCGTTTTCAATTAAGCCTTGCTTGGGCCTGCTCTATCGTTTATGAGAATGAGCCGGTGCTATGTAGCTTGCCATTCCGATCTCGAAAGTAAAACACATATTCGATGATATTTTCTTCAACCCTTCGAATTACATCCTCCCTCGAGACCATTTTCAAGTGCTCCACACTCAGGACAACCTCGTCTTTCCAGTTTTCATACTTCTCCATAAGAACCTCACATTTCATCACTAAGATTTCACCTTTCTTCATGATTCCTTCCACTCCCCAAGTTTTCAGTAATGGATGATGCAGTTTGCGGAAGGCTTTGGCGGGAGTGTGCTCAAGTTTAGAGACAGATATGGAAGTCGGCCAAGGAGCTCGTTCTGAGAGCCCTATCTGATCGGTGCTGGACTGTTATCTTCCCAGTCGACCTTGGTCCCTAAAGTTTTATTGAGCATAGGTCGAGTACTGATACAAGTCCGTGGTTGAGTGAGAATCTATAGTTGTTGTTCTTGGAGGTTACGAAAGTCAGTTAGTCAGGCTTTACTGGGATGGGTTATCGAGACCACCGAGACGATACCATTTAGCCATACCGGGGCGACTGCTGAATACGATTTCGAGCTGCTGGTTCACGCGCTTGGCACGCGAGTTGAGTACCTCAAGGGAGGTTACCCGTTTAGAGCAGCCCGAACACCGATCCACAACATGTAGGGAACATAGTGGCCTCTTGTATTGTCCTAACCCATTCAGCCCCCTCCAATGAGGAACCCGTGCTATACAACTCATAGCTATGTTTGTGAAAACAAAGCACACACTCTGCGCATTTGTTCTTTCCCCACTAACATGTAAGTCAGACCACTACCCTCAGGCACAATGTTATATAGTGCTCGTTTTAATTTTGGCTCAACTATGGTACACACACTATTGGATAGGACTACTTGTAACCTGCGTAGCACGACGAATGTGTTCGCGCCCCTTCATGTCCTCGCGAACAACTCACGAACATGTTCAGGTGAACGTATTTTTTTTTCGTAAAAAAAAATAAAAAATAAAAAAAATTCGGTTTTTGATTTTTAACTCATGATTGGCTACGAATTTGAACATGACTCCAAGGCAAAGTTGCTTGTATTAATATTTTACGTAACATCTACGTTACCTGATCGGACGTCCGGGACCCCCTGACCGTCCGGGACTGTCCGATCGGACAACCGGTCGGCCGTCCGCCGGGGGCCCGACGTCCGATGAAAAAAAAAAATTGGGGGGGGTCGAAAACGAGGCCTAGGGAGGCCTAGAGGTGGGCTACGTGAAGAGGGGAACCGTGGGCGCCGACGGGAATATTTTTCGGAGGCCGGTAGGGCCTCCAAAAACGAAACACAAAACGGCCCAATCTGGGCCGTCTGATCTGCGAGATCGATGACCCAGATTGAGTTATTTTGAATTCGAAATCAGGCGCCCTTCGCGCTCTCCCCCGCGCGTCTTCGCCCCCGCGCTGTCGCCAGAGTTCGGTGTTGTCGTTGCCGAACTCCGACGTCGACAGCCGCAACCCCACGCGCCATCGCCCGCCCACGCCAGGTGAGCCAGCTTGTCCATCGTCGGACCCTCCTCCTCTTCTTCCTCCTCCTCTTCTTCCTCCTCCTCCTCCTCTTCTTCCTCCTCCTCCTCCTCCTCCTCATTGACCGTGGCCTTCTACTCTCCTCCTCCTCTTCGTCGTCCTCCTCCTCCTCCACCTCCTCCTCCACCTCCTCCTCCTCTTCTTCCTCCTCCTCCTCCTCCTCATTGTCCTCCTCCGACGTCGACGGCCGCAACCCCACGCGCCATCACCCGCCCACGCTAGGTGAGCCAGTTCCTCCATCGTCGGACCCTTCTCTTCTTCCTCCTCTTCTTCCTCCTTCTCTTCTTCCTCCTCCTCCTCTTCCTCCTCCTCCTCCTCCTCCTCCTCCTCCTCCTCCTCCTCTTCGTCGTCCTCCTTTTCCTCCTCTTCTTCCTCCTCCTCCCCCTCTTCGTCCTCCTCCTTCTCCTCCTCCACCTCCTCCTCTTCTTCCTCCTCCTCCTCCTCCTCTTCTTTCTCCTCCTCCTCCTCATGGTCCTCTTCCTCCTCCTTCTCCTCCTCCTTCTCCTCCACCTCGTTGTCCCGCCAGTCCCTGCTCCACTCTCGTTGTTCCGCCTCGTCATCGCTGTGGAAAAAAAGCGATTTCTGCGAAGTTGACACTATCGGGCCCCTCTCTTCATCTTCATCGGATAGATATTCTGAAAAAGAAGGTAGGCCTCCGCCTCTTCTTCCTCCTCCTCCCCCTCTTCGTCGTCCTCCTCCTCCTCCACCTCCTCCTCCTCTTCTTCCTCCTCCTCCTCCTCTTCTTCTTCCTCCTCCTCCTCATGGTCCTCCTCTTCCTCCTCCTGCTCCTCCTCCACCTCGTTGTCCCGCCAGTCCCTGCTCCACTCCGAGACTCGTCGTTCCGCCCCGTCATCGCCGATCAATCAATCAATCAATCAATCAATCAATCAATCAATCGACGATCCCGTCGAATTGCTTGATTCGATAGCATCTTGACATCAAGATCCTATCGAATCAAGCGATTCGATGGGATCGTCGATTGATTGATTGATTGATTATTCGGACCAAAAAAAAAAAAAAAAAAAAAAAAGATCGTGGCCTTCTCCTCCTCCACTTCCTCCTCTTGTTCTTCGTCCTCCGCTTCTTCCTCATCCCCTTCCCAGTCCTCGTCCTCCAGGACCTCCTCCTCCTCTTCTTCCTCCTCCTCGTCCTCGTCCTCGTCCTCCTCCTCCTCCGCCATCGTCGGGGCCTCCTCCTCCTCCTCCTCCTTCGCCGTCGTCCTCCTCGTTCTTCTCCATCGCCGCTACCTCCTTCCTCCTCCTCCTCCACGTCTTCTTAGTCCTCCTCGCCGTCTTCTTCTTCGTCGTCCTCCTCCTCCTCCTCCCCCTCCTCGCCCTGTTCGCTTTCTCGCCAATGTCCGTGGCAAAGCTTTCCCGCCGAACCACCGCCCAACTAAATGTTTTCTAAAAGTCCCTTGCCAACTGCCCAAATAAATGCCTTTGCTTTCCCGCCAATGTCCTATCTCAGAGTCTCGGTTCGAAAGCCCCTGCCAACTCCCGACTTGTCGCACGAGAGTTTACTTTCCCGCCAATGTGCCCCGTCATCGCCGATCAATCAATCAATCAATCAATCAATCAATCAATCAATCAATCGATCGATCGATTGATTGATTGACTGATTGATTGTTTGATTGATTGATTGATTGATTGATTGATTGATTGATCGGCGATGACGGGGCACATTGGCGGGAAAGTTCCTCCGTCGTCGGACCCTCCTCCTCTTCTTCCTCCTCCTCCTCTTCTTCTTCCTCCTCCTCCTCCTTGTCCTCCTCATTGACCGTGGCCTCCTCCTCCTCCTCCTCCTCCTCCTCTTCGTCGTCGTCCTCCTCCTCCTCCACCTCCTCCTCCTCTTCTTCCTCCTCCTCCCCCTCTTCTTCCTCCTCCTCCCCCTCTTCGTCGTCCTCCTTCTCCTCCTCCACCTCCTTCTCCTCTTCTTCCTCCTCCTCCTCCTCCTCCTCCTCATGGTCCTCCACTTCCTCCTCTTGCTCCTCCTCCTCCTCCACCTCGTTGTCCCGCCAGTCCCTGCTCCACTCTCATCGTTCCGCCCCGTCATCGCCGTGGAAAAAAAAGCGATTTCTGCGAAGTTGACAGTCCCTCTCTTCATCTTCATCGCATATATATTCTGAAATAGAAGGTAGGCCTCCCCCTCTTCTTCCTCCTCCTCCCCCTCTTCGTCGTCCTCCTTCTCCTCCACCTCCTCCTCTTCTTCTTCCTCCTCCTCCTCCTCCTCCTCCTCCTCCTCCTCATGGTCCTCCTCTTCCTCCTCCTGCTCCTCCTCCTCCTCCTCCACCTTATTGTCCCGCCAGTCCCTGCTCCACTCTGAGACTCGTCGTTCCGCCCCGTCATCGCCGATCAATCAATCAATCAATCAATCAATCAATCAATCAATCAATCAATCAATCAAATCAATCAATCAATCGATCGATCGACGATCCCGTCGAATCGCGTGATTCGATAGGATCTTGATATGTCAAGATCCTATCGAATCACGCGATTCGACGGGATCGTCGATCGATCGATTGATTGATTGATTTGATTGATTGATTGATTGATTGATTGATCGGACCAGAAAAAAAAAAAAAAAAAAAA